AGGACAAAAGGAATATGTTAGAACAACTCTAAAGTGAGAAGGGAGGTGGTGAAATCACCACTGCCCTTTGCCTGGATGGTGCACCAGCATAGGAATGAATCACTGCTGCTACAGCTCATTTTCATGTGTTCTTCTGGCTTTGCAAATGCTTCATTAACATTTGAAAATACTGCAATGATAAGACTTTTCACTCTGTTCTTAAATTTAGGTTAACAAAAAAGCTTGAAGAGAGACGAGAAGAGAAAAGGAAAGAAGAAGAACAGGTAACACAAAAATGTAAAAACCCTTGGAGTTGCAGGTTTGTTTTTTAACCCTTATTTGAATAAATGTTTAATTCCTTCTTACATAAACATACTGCAGTCTTTTCTCTTGCCCAAGGCAATTTTGTGGTCCAATTTTTATATCTCTCTATTCAGAAAGAAATTAAGAAAGAAATTGAAAGAAGGAAAACTGGTAAAGAAATGTTGGAATACAAAAGACGACAGGAAGAAGAATTGACCAAACGTATGTTGGAGGAAAGAAGCAGAGAAAAGGCAGAAGAGAGAGCTGCTAGAGAGCGCATAAGGCAACAGATTGCAATGGTAAATTTTGCATTTTGGAAGAGAGTTTGCTGCTTGTCTCTCAGTGTACTAAAATGATACATTTTCTCATTTGCTGAGGCTTTGAAAGCTTGTTCGTTTTTCCATTTGGAGTCCTGTAGCCTTGTATAGTAATGATTTTTGTGTTTGGGGTTTATGTAGCATTTCCTGTGTATAAAAGGAAACTTCTGCTTTCATCTTCACAATTCTTTTCTATCTGAACAAACATTTCTGTCATATTGTTTGAGCCTAGTGGAGAATTATCCCATAAATGTAAAATTAATTGCAATTTAGGTATGGTACTAAAATACAAGGACAGGGCGTATTTAACTGTAGAACATACACAAGAACACTGCTCTCAAAATGGTGAAGATTATTTTCCAAGTTAGCATATATGTGTGTGTGCATATATGGATGTAAACAGTTGATAACAACTGAAATTCTTCCTCATTATTAGGTTTTGGTATAGAACACTCAGAATTGCAGTCGTGTAACTTGTAAGGTTTTTGCTTTTATCTTCCCTGGAGTGTTGAGCTTGCATGGGAAGATCATCTATTAACAACTGGTTGTGGGAAGTGACTCAGTGAGAAGTGTCATCTTGGCTAATGACATGAGATTATGCAGTTTGGCACTAAATAATTTTTTTCAGTTCCACTATCTTTTCTCCATATGGTTTGTTTGTATCTGTGCAGTTGGTTCATGAGTATAGATCATAGCTGTCTGTTTTATTGAACCCTAAGCAGAAGTTATGTTAACAATTAAGCTTTCCCTTTGATCCTTCCATAGGATCGTGCCGAGAGGGCAGCTCGCTTTGCAAAATCGAAGGAAGAAGCAGAAGCTGCAAAAGCTGCAGCTCTTCAGGCTAAGCAGGCTGAAATAGAGGCCAGAAAAGAGGCAGCTCAAAGAGAGCGAAGGTGAGTTGCAGGAGAGACACAAGTGTGTATTTTGGGGGAGAGAGGTAAAGAAACTTTTTTAAGAGTTAATACATCTCATCTCTTGACCACATCTCATGTTGACTTGTTTAAATAGTGACATTAAAGGTAGCTGTTTACATGAACATGATGCTCTTTGAGAGCTTTCATCCTTTTGACATTCATGATCATGAAACACTAACCACCTTTACTGGTGTGTTATTTGAGTTAGATAAGAGCGTTTTTGTGTCTGAGCTTTGATTTAAATACCACTATAATGGAGTTTGGTAGGGTACTAGATAAGGTGAGAATGCCAAAGATTATGCTTGGACAGAATGACTGGAAAATGTCAGCACTGCTGGGGAGCAGATCCAGGGGCTGTGTGTGGATGGCTTGGATTCAGCAAGGCTGGGTTGGGGCCATCAGCTGCCCAGGCCAGAGCTGTCTCCTGCTTTGCCCAGCACTGCTGGTTTAAGAATTATCTGAACCTATGGGGACCTTATATGGATTATGGAAGAGATGCATTGTGAGAGATCAGCAGGTGATTTTCCACTATGAATTCAATCTTACACCGCCCTGGGCAGGATGACTGTCCCTCTCTGCCACATTTCAGTACTACCAAGCTAAAGGCCCAGGAGCCTTTGTCTGTAAGTGTTCATGTCCTGACTGACCCCAATACCTCTCCCACAGTGCAATAGCCAGGATTCAGTTCCGCCTCCCCGATGGATCTTCTTTCACAAACCAGTTCCCATCTGAAGCACGGCTAGAAGAAGCCAGGCAGTTTGCTGCACAGGTAGTGTGGGCATTTTATTTCTCAGCTATGTGCTGATTACGATCCGGTGAGCATCAAGTAGTTATTGATGATGGTGGTGTTGTCATCAACTCCTTTCCTTATTGGGTATTTGAAAGGAGTTTTGGTAGCAGCCTTCTCTAGTGCCACCAACTTGCTGCAGTGTGTCATTAGTAAGATATAGAGAAAAATGAACGATATTTTATATCCTACTCTGAGGACAATTGATAGTTTGCTACAAAACTCTTGTTAATGTATACTCAGCCGGCAAATATGCAGGTGTTTGAGCAGTTATTAATAAAATGTTTTCTTTATGTGTTTCACAGACGGTTGGTAACACTTACGGCAATTTTTCACTGGCGACAATGTTTCCCAGGAGGGAGTTTACCAAAGAAGATTATGGAAAGAAGTTACTTGAACTCGAGTTAGCACCCAGTGCTTCAGTAGTGTTGCTGCCGGTAGGTGTTGGGTTTTGGTGTGTTTGATTTTTCAAACAGCAGTACAGCAGCTGGGTATTTGCTTTAAGACAGCCATTATAGTATTTGGTTTGAATTTGGCGATTTTCTTTGTCTAAACAGATTGCAAAATTACTCTAGTTAGTCAGGACTGATTTGGAGAAGTTTCTCTGAAGCAGATAAATGGTGACATAGATACTCGTCTAAGATGTAACCAAGGTTGTTCCTTTCTGTCTGCCGAGCTGCTTAGAAAGGATGTGTGAAATACTCTGTCTACAAGAGCACACTTTAATTCCTGACAGCTTTGCTTGTTTGTTCATGACAGGCGGGAAGACCTGCGACTTCTGTTGTTCAGGCTTCAGGCAGTGATCTGTGGAAGTTCTTGGGCACAATCCTTTACCCCCTCTTAGCGGTTTGGAGATTCATTAGCAACTTCCTGTTTACGAGCCCGCCCCCCTCTCAGCCCTCTGTGAGATCAGCTCATCAGCAAGACCACTCAGCTCCCTCAGCCTCGGGCAGCATCGAGCAAAGCAGGTAAGGCAAAGTGTTTAAGGCAGCTGTTTCACAAGCTTCTTGCTGCAATTGCTTTAATCTTGTAGTGGGGAAAGGAATGTCCAATTACACAATAGGAAAAGTCTTGCAGTCATTTATGAATAGGGAATTCAGCTGTAACTACAAAGGTGAGCTTCACTTCAGCTGATACTGTTTGGAAGATAAAAATGTTAAAAATGAGATAATCAGATTGTTATGGAATGGTTGTCCAAGAAACAGAAGCAGCTGAAGTCTGGTTTTGACAGGTTTTGTATTGCTTAGAGAAAGAGATCTCCCATGTACCAGGAGAGCTGCTCAGCTGTTTCTGGTGAAGAAGCCACATATTGCTTCAATGACAGGGAAAATGAGAGTCTGCCACTCTGTCTGACCGCTAAGTGACAAATTTTCACCTGGGTATTGCTTCCCAAGGAAACAAAAGGCTGAAGAAAACTATTATTGAGGATAAGAGAAGGATGGATGATTTGTGTTTATTGCATCTGCTGCTTCTCTTGTGTAATTATTACTGAGCAAACTGTCAAACCTCACTGTTATTTGTGCCCTAGGCAAGCAGTCAGGAAACGAGTAGTGGAAAAGCGGGGGGAAGACTTCAAAAAAGAAGGCAAAATATATAGACTGAGGACTCAAGATGATGGAGAAGATGAGAACAATACTTGGAATGGAAATTCTACACAACAAATGTAGTTTTGAGTAACTGCAGTTACTATTTGGCTGGTTTTTTTTCTTTTTTTTTTTTTTTTCCTTATTTCATCTAAATCAACTAAAGCTTCTGGACAAGTGGGGCTTATTTTACACTGACTAAATTACTTAATTCTTATTCCTGGTGGATTATGGAATAAAGTCACCTATGTCAGAAAAATCAAGTGGGGGTAGGTGAAACCTAGTAAAAAGACTGAAAATCTCCATCAGCTTTCATAAATATTGCCCTATGCCATAGAAAGGCACTTTTTAATCTATACATGTTCTGCTACATAAATTTAAGGGCCAGATATATTAATATAAAGGTCATGGTAGACAATAACTGATTAAAATGAGGGTTTCAGAAGCACTATAAGTAGCAAATCAGATAACTAATTTATGTTTAACTTTTTTCTTGCTTCTGCAACTGCAAGCAAAACCTTGTAGTTTTTAATTCCCTAAGCACTCAATAAACTATTTTCCAGAAAACATGACTGTCTTGTGAAGTTCCTCTGATGTTCTGGTATCACAAGGAAGCAAGCAGGGTCGTGCTGAAATTTAAAATACAGCAGACAAACATTTTGTTGCAGTTTAAATTGCTTTACTTTACATGAAATAAAGGAAAAGGGGGGTGAAAATCCAATCTGTACAGTAGTGGCAGTGTAACAGTTTTGACCAGGAGAGACACTAATTTGTCTTGAAATTCTAAGTAGCAGGAGAACTTCCAGGGGTCCTTTCAGGACTGTTGATGATGCTGATGAAGCGAGGACAAATGCCAGCTGATGTTCAAAATCTTTATAGACAGATGGGAACAAGCAATTTTACTTTGGTCTTTAAGAAATCAAATCAGTAATGCCAATGGACAAAAGAGACAGTTAACACAGAAAAATAATTTTCCTCCCCCTTTTTAAATTGGAAAGCAAACAGCAAAATGCTGGGGAGCCATCTCTGAGGTAAGACAGAAAGCTGCAAGTAGTGGTGGCACAGACTTCTTTTTTAAGAAAAAACAATCACATTAACAGTTTATGAGGTGGAAATATTACAGTTTACTACTCTGTTCCATGTGTGATTGTTTATGGGATCTTTTGGATGATTTTCTGTATGTGTATGCGAAAAGAGCCAAGCCCAGTGCTCCAACTGCAGAAATAGCAAGAAGCACATAGAGTGCTACTTCTGCACCTTGGGATGTCAAATCCAATCCGAAAAAGCGCACGCTGCCAGCTGCTCCTGGAGTCGGCTCTGTTGGTGTCACTGAATGGGAAAACAATGACAAAGTGTTGGTGCAGAGCCTGGGGGAACTGTTCATGCAGCTGTGGGCACTGTTGCTCCCTGCCTCCACCAGGCTTTTAACTGTATTGTTCAATACTCTGGCAGGAGCTGTAATTCTGGGGATCAAGGATTGATACAATTCTAGCTCAGAGTGAAGGCACAGCTGAGGCTGAAAGTGCAATTCCTGATAGTACCAGGTGAGTGTTCTCATTCCCAAACCCCCACACTAACACTGGTTGCTTTTCATTGTACTACTCCAGTTGAGAAGACACAAATGACAACAAATTGGTATTTCCAAAGCCTTACCCAAAACAAGGATTTGTATAAAGTATTCAAAATTTTTTCTAGACAATCTTGTGGGAGTATTGCATGTGTGTGGTTTGGAAAACATCTTGGGCAATTCTGTTGGAGTAAAGTTGAATGGAATAACTTGCTACATTCTTAAGACAAGCATGTGTTGAGGTGCTCTTGCAAAAGGTTTGGTTGTTAAGTCTGGTTTTGCTTAGGGAAGTGACATTAACTGGAGTCTTTAAAGAAAATATTCCAGAAAATGATGATGTCTCTAAAAACCTTAGGATTATGGAAGTCTTTTGGGATTAGGATTAGATGCAAACACACAAGCACCATTTCTGCTGTGTCACTTACCTTCTGGCTCCTGTTCCAGACAGGGATGAGGGCCTGTTGCTGGATCTGGAAAGCCATTGCAGTTTATGATCTGTGTGTAATACTTGGCTGAGGCCTTGGGGCGCCGTGGCAAGGCAGGGTCTGAGAAATTCACATAGTAGAGCCCAAACTTTTCCTCATAACCCATTGCCCACTCGAGGTTGTCCATCAGTGACCACGCAGTGTAGCCCCGTAGGTCGACACCGTCGAGCACAATGGCTGCAGGCAGGAGCAGAGAGAACAGGTCAGTGGTCACCCCTCTGCCAGCCAGGGCAGGAGGGTGCTGCAGAACATCTACACATGGCACACAGTGAAGTTACTGACAACAAGCAGATTCTCTCAGTGCCCAGAACTGGACACTGCTTTTCTCTGCTCCAAAAATCAAAGCCTTTGTGCAAGAAACAAAGGTTTAGGAATAGAAAGGAAAACCCCTAAAATGTAACCATTGCCTAAACAAGTGTTTGTGGGGCCTTTACAAGGCAGTAAATGCCTGAACACCTGGCTGCTCCCAGTACATCAGAAAAGTAAACTGAAAAAGCTCTTTCCTGAAGTTGTTCGACCAATGCTGTAACAGAAACCAGCTTGGGGGTTGGGTTTTTACTGTTGTTTTTAAAAAATAGGCAGCTTTTAGACACAGCAGTAGTCAGACTAGAAGGAGTTTATCAGGTAGTAGTACTCTCACCAGGTGCAGCAAACCAAGGAACCTGCAGGTTATCCCACTAAACCCAGGGTTCGTTCTTCCTTTAGATCATCTTTCCTGGCACATTTGTGACTATCCATGAGCAGTTTTTCCAAACCCAAAGGCTCTTGGAAGTGGATTCAGTAAGTCCATGTAACTGTGTAACTTTCAAGTGTGATGGCAGTGGTCTTTCAGCTCTTTACAACTTGCTGTATACACATCAGTCTTGTGGCAAAGCCACTGCTGCTCTCTAGAGCTCTGGATGACCAGATGTCAGTAACCACTCTTACCTTTCAGTGCCTCATTAATGTAGGTCCGATAGTAATACATTCTCCAAGTGTCATTGAATTCAAAGGCTCCCCTTTCTGAGACCCCATTTTCAGTCACATAAATGGGAGGGTTGTTGTACTCTTCCTTTATCCACCTGAGGAGCTTTCTGAACCCAAAGGGTGTCATCTTCAGCCAGGCGGAACCAGAGCTCGGCCAGGTGCGGTCGGTCACTGTGCCTACAGCCCTGTGGAGGGGACACTGCTCAGGGCCACTCCCATGTGCCAGGCAGCTCCATGCCCAGGGCTGAGGTGCTGCTGGTGCTCACAAGCTTAAAAAAACACTTCTCAATTTTGATCTACAATAACACCCTGTGTAAATCAGCTGTGGCTGATGATGTGACTGTTCGTTCCAAATCTTTGCATACTACAATGTCGTTTCTACTTTACAAGGCATAATGCAGTGCTTGAGCACACAAAATTGCTCTTTACATTACATGCAGGAATGTAATGAGCTCACTGTCCTAGAGGGTTAAACTATAAGGGGCTGGGATGTACCAGCAAAGTTATTTCAAATTTCATCTATTCCCTATGGAAACATTTTGGAAAGGAGACAATTTCACCCCCATGTGTGACCCCACCATTACCTGAATTCTCATTAGAAAAACTAGTAAGCTCCTATTGTTTACTTTTTGAAGTTGAGGAATGAAATTAGTATCTAAATAAAAAATCTTGACTTAACCATGAAGTGATGTAGCTATTTAGGCTTTGAACTTGCATATATCCAATGCAGTGAGGCACCTAACTCTGTTTAACAGCAAATGAATCAGTATCCATAAACCAGGATAACACCTCACAGTTTAAACTGCAGATTGAAGGCAGGAAATATGATAAACACTGTCTATCATCACCTCATATCTGTAAGAAAAAGGCTGTTGCTGGACTTCTGTGAAAATAACGGCACCTCAGACACTGCTTGTTTATAGTATCCCTAGTGTTGGTTTGTAACAGCTTAAAACACCTATCTCACAGCTTGATTTGCCATAAATTTATACTTGTCAGTTAACCCAGGCTCCAGCTGTTCAGATTTTACTTGACCAATAATTTACATTAATCTCTTACCTATCAGAGTCAAATGACATAACATCCTTAGGAAAGTTTAAGTTGTATGCTAAAACCGTGGTATAATGATTTAGACCAAAGTAGTCATATGTGCCTTTAATTCTTCGTTTTTCACTTTCAGTGAATTCTGGAAGTCTGCAAGAGAAAACAAAGAATACACTTTGCACACACTCCACGGGTAATGCTGGGATCCTTGGTACCAGCACCACAAGCAGAAGGAGAGAAACTCTCAACTGGGAATGGAAAATAAGAATGTAACTGAGAGTGACCAATGAGTTCAGTCCGTAGTTTTAAGAAAAGTTAAACAAATTTACCACAGGCATCAGGTAAAGTACTGTGGCTAATGCAGAGTAGTTACTGTGTCACTGAGTTGACGTTTTATTACCCCATAGATACATCTGTCAATTTAGTCTGCAAGAGAGGTAAAGACAGGGAATAGATAAAGCCCCCTGCCTAGATTGGAACTAAATGAACTTTAAGGTCCCTTCCAATACAAACCATTCTGTGATTCTCTAAAAATATACACTAGAATTTTTCTGTGAGGATACAATAAGCTTTTTTACAGTAACATGGGAATAGAATCATTGAAATGCATAATTTCTAGAAGAAAGCATGTTTCAGCACAGCCAGTGAAACAAAAGCAGGTGTGTGCCTGGGCTCTTACCGGGACTTGCTCAGGCCCTGAGCCAGACTTCGTTCCTGAATCCTTCTTTTCATCACTTCATTATAATCACCATTTTTGAAAATGGGGTGAGAAAACCAACCTAGAAAAAACTAAGCCAGGAAATAAGGGAGGATAAATCATGTATCAAAACTAATTATTAGCAGTAAGTTTAATAGGCTTTTGTCACTGCAACCATATTTTGTCTCATTTCTGTTGGATTCTTGATCAGTCCACATAAAAGGGGGATACATTTCCTTGCAGTGATGCCTCTGCCTCACCATTTTATTTCAGTGAGATGCTGACCTGGGTCTGGCACATCCAGCACCCAAAGCAGGGGTGTCACCTGGAGCAGCAGGGAGAGCTGTGACCAGGGATCTCTGTACCTCCATGAATCGTTTGGCAGCTTCAATGTCCTCCTGGCTGTGCGGGTTGCGTGGTTCTGCCCAGTCAGAGTTGATGGTGATGGAGATGAGCCCTCCCTGCTTGGCCCGGAAGGTCTCGTTGTAGAGGTGCCAGACCTCGGCGTGTGCCCTGATCATGTTGTGTCCCACCACGTAGGGAGCGTGCCCTGGCCGAGCCCAGATGCCTGCAGGGACAGGGACAAGCAGGGGCAGTGGAGCAGCACTTCCCAGCCCTAGCATGGCTGTTTCCCAGGTTAACACAGCCCCGGGGTACCCAGAACTGCCCCTGGTAAAGCAATACCTGGTGCCCCAAGCCCAGCCCTGGGCTGGAATCAGTGCTAGGCAGAGGCAGCTGAAGGAGCAGCTGCCATGGGAAGGCTATGCCAGGAGAACTCTGCATTGCCCCCTGCTCCCTCTGGAGTGGGACATGGGCTGCCAGCCCTGGCAACAGGCTGCTGCTGCCAGTTTGGAAAGCAGAAAGCTGTGTGTTCAGGTTGGCTCCCCTCTTTTGGTTCTACCCTGCTGCTGAGCTGGGTCTTCCTTTAGCCCTATCCCTTCTCCACAGTTCCTCGAGCTGGTCTGGAAACAAGGTCTGCTCCAGGCAGCAAGTGTAATCCAGACTTTGAGGTGACAGGCAGAGTAAAAGAAGGACCTGCTCAGCACACCACAGCAATCCAAGCCCCATCTATCCACAGCACAGCAGCTTCCTCGTTCTACATTTGCAAGCCCAGGGAACTGCTCTGCTGCAGCATAAAACATTGTGCTGACAGTGCATGAGGGCTCTGAGGTTATGCCCAGCAGTCTTACCTGGAGCAGCTGTACCAACGCCATAGCCAAGATAGGCAGCGGTGTAGGGTTCATTGAAGGTTATCCAAAATTTCACTTTATCCCCCAGCCTCTGGAAAAGGACCTCAGCATATTCCTTAAACCTCTGAATTACAGTATCATTCTCCCACCCACCAAGGTCCTGCAGCGGCTGTGGGAGGTCCCAGTGATAAAGAGTTACCTGTGGGGAAAGACAAGAGGACAAAGACTCAACCAGTCACTCTCACAGTAACTCAGATTCATTTATGACCACAAACGGACCGTGCTTTGATCTGCAGCTACCTGTTCCTAATGTAGTTTGATGTTGTAGTGGTCACTCATGCACTCAATAAAATACATTTTTGCCAGTTTCTTTAGGGACTGCCAATGGTAAAGGTGAAACTTTTTTTTTTGTTTTACCAAAAAACACCTTGTGACAATAAGAACTCATTAGTGAAGAACTGCTGCACCTGCACTGACTCTCAGGTGAAATACAATCCACTAGGACACCTGTCTGGGCTAGTACAAGACTATGAAGATAGCTCAGTGTCACTCAACAGTGTTGAAAGAGCTGATTGATGGAGGGGTGAGGTCACTGTCCATTGTATGTGACAAATAACACTGACCAGTGGAGTTTCCTTACTCCCACGAAAAGAATAAAGCTACATCCATCTCTAAGAAAGGCAAGAAGGAAGATCATGGGAACTGCATTAATCAGTCTCACCTCAGTGTCTGAAAGAGTCCTGCATAGGTCCCTGTGGAATCTATTTCCAAGGTAAAGGGACAAGAAAACAACTGGAAACAACCAACAATAAGTTTACTGTGGTCTTTCTGGGTAGTAATTCAATACATCCCTACATTCCAAGTTCATTGGCTTATGCAATACCCTATGTTTCTTATCAAAATGAAATGAAAAACAACTTCTGTGTGAAGCAGGGTATGGATGGAAACACACACGTTGCTCTGAGCATCAGATTTGGGTTTTGCTATTTTTTAGTAACCTGAAACTTACTGGCTGTACTTACCTGAGGCATAATGTTGGCTGCCAGAAGGGCATCGATCAGCCTTTCATAGTAGTTCAGTCCCTTTTCATTGATGTACCTGGTGGTCCCATCTGGGAGAACACGAGGCCAGGAGATTGAAAAGCGATAGTGAGACACCTTGAGGCTTTTCAGCATTTCCACATCCTCCTCAAGCCTGTGGTAGCTGTCACAAGCTACATCTCCAGTTGCGTCGTTGACGATTTTCAAGGGAGTGTGGGAATATTTGTCCCAAATGCTAAGTCCTTTCCCATCTGCTCTCCATCCTCCCTCAATCTGTAATTGAAAATGCAGGAAGAACTATTAGCAAACCCAAATTTAGGTCTCATTCTAGCAAAGAATTCAGCCTGTTATTCTTTGTGGTGCCACGCAATGAATTAACTGTCCACAGATACTTCAGGAATCTGTCTCAGTTTCCTGACCTGGTAAGCTGCACTTGCTGCACTCCACAGGAAGTTCTCTGGAAACTCTCCATATAAAAATTCATCTTCCTTGGGCAGTGGGATACCATTATTGCGGATGATTTCAGCATAGTACACAGCAGAGCGCTTTGGCGTCCTCGGCCTGTTGGGGTTGTCAAAATCAATCTGGTGCAATCCAAATCTTGGATCATAACCATCCACCCATTCAAAGTTATCCATCAGAGACCAAGCGTTGTATCCTTTCAGATTAACACCATCTACCTTGTAAGCTGAAAGATCAGAAAAAAAAAAACAGAGGAGCATTAATGGTATAACCACACACTAAATGAACCCTAAGGAATTCACATGCAAACACATACAGGCTCCTAGTTTCATACAGGTGGCACTGGTCAACTAAGATCATTGAGAGAATCTTCACAGCTGGAGGAAACAAAGTACAGCCATACAAAGAAGGTCATAAAAGCAAACACTATGTTTATATTGTATTCAGACTATTTAAAGACTGATATCAATCACTTTTAAAAAGTACTCTTCAGAGGAGTTAAGTAACCCGAAATCTAGAGAGGAGACACACACCACCAGATTGCAAAAGCAAATTCTGGTACCTTTTAAAGCTTCATCAATGTATGTTTTGTAGTAAAATATCCTGGCATTGTCATCAACATCTGATTTGGCTTTTTTCCCCACGCCATTCTCAATGATATATATTGGGGGGTTTCCATATTCCTCTTTGATCCAGTTCAGTAGCCTCCTCAGACCCCAGGCCACAGGCCGATGGTCAGGGAGAGCTGAGGAAGGCCAGGAGCTGTCAACTGTTAGTGAAACTTCCTGATCATACTCGTAAGAGAAGGGTGTCAGAGGTGTTGTTGAGTACTTTACAATTTTGGTGGAGTATGTGTTGAAGCAGAAGACATCTGCCGTGCCCCGGATGTATTCCCGCTCCTCCGCTGTGAAAACCGGCAGGCGCGACGATGGCAGGTTCTGGAGCTCACTCCTGTTCCCAACTTTCCACTTCATGACCTCGGGGTAGTCCCCGTTTTTGAAAATCGGGTGTGTGAACCAACCCACCAAAAACTGCAGGTAACTGTCAGCAGCTTCAATGTCCCTGGGGTCACTCAGTGTCTTTGGCTCGGCCCAGCTAATGAAGGGACACAGGGCAATGACCCCTCCCTGACTCGCTCTGTATTTGTCATCGTAGGTGTGGTAGACCCTGGCATGAGCTTTCAGTAAGATGTGGGCAACCCTGTAGGGAGCACTGCCAGGCTCCTTGACATTGGGTGGGAACAACCCTTTGCCGTAGCCCATCCAGGCAATGATGTTGGGTTCATTGATTGTAATCCAGAACTTCACCCTGTCCCCAAAGGTCTGGAAACAGAAGTCTGCAAAGCTGTTAAATAGGTCAATCAGCTCGTTGCTCTCCCAGCCACCGATGTCCTGGAGAGCTTGTGGTAGGTCCCAGTGGTAGAGAGTGACAATTGGAGTGATGTTGTTTGCAATCAGTCCATCAATGAGGTGGTTGTAGTATGCGACTCCATGGCTGTTGATTGAGTTGTTCCTTCCAGTGGGGAAAATTCGAGGCCAGGACAAGGAAAAACGATAGTTCTTTACCCCTAAGGCTCTCAGCATGTAAATATCTTCCTCCACCCTGTTGTAGCTATCACAAGCTGTATCTCCAGTACTGTTATCGTTTACATTCCCTGGGACATGGGTGAAGTTATCCCAAATGCTGGGTCCTTTGCCATCAGCATCCCAACCTCCCTCTATCTGGTAGGCAGAGGAAGACACACCCCATGTAAAATCCTCTGGGAATGTCCCATAAAAATACATGTCTCTTTCAAAGGCAGTCTGGGATGAAAACTTCTGCCAAACGACTTTTGCCTTGGAGGGAACTTCTGATGCTGGTAAACTTGGCAGCTTTGATGGCACAGGTCGGTCAAACACCACTGGTGCAGATCTGCTCAAGGCTTGGGATGGAAAACCATTTTTCTCAATAAGACTGGAATAGAAGTAAGCAGATGCCTTGGGAGTCCTTTGTCTGTTGCTATCTTCAAAGTTCACATGATGCAGCCCAAATTTTAGGCTGTATCCCTCTGGGCCTTCAAAGCCATCAAGCAGGGATCGAGCAATGTAGGAGCGGACATCAACAGCATCCAGTTTCACCGCTGCCACAGAAAAAACGAGACATAGTTAATTACCCACCTGAACACAACTCAGCAAAACAGAAGCACCACAGCCAAGGATAGGTGTGACAAGCCAAATACTTATAAATTATTTTAAAGGCTAAAAAAAATTCCCAAACAATTAGGAGTATCTGGTAGGAAAAGCAGTCAGCACGGTAATAGGAACTAGTGAAATGCTTAGTGATAGAAATGTGTGAGAAAAGAAGCATTTGTCAAGAGGTGTCCTGAGTACAGGACACGTATTCCTTCCCCTGTGTTCTTATTTTCAAGCAGATTTCATCAATTTAGGTGTATGGCTCACTTTTAGATTTAACACTGTAATTAAACTGAAACCTTGCGGGTATTTAGTGCTTGCCTATATCCCCTGAGCATAGGAGAGCTTCTTTTAGCTGAACTGTCTACCCAATTCCAGCACAGGCAAGTCCAGCATCTCTCCTCACATTGCTTACAAAAAAGCATTAAATCTCTCTTATTCAAAAAACGTTCACTCCCTTCCTCTTTACTTCTGAGACATAACAGTCTCAGCAGAAGTAAATGCTAAATTGTGTCTTCTGTAGCTTTCAACACTTCCAGCAGTATGTTGAGATCTAGGTCAAGCAGATCAAATGCTGTACACACTGATCACCAACATATTTAATACAGCATATTTAATGTTCTCCTGACAGTATTGTTTAGTCTATCTAGAGAGCATCAGTCAAATCTCTATTTGAAATCTCATCTCTCTATGTTTGTCCAGAACTTGCCACTAATGCTATTTTTATGTCAAAAGATACACAGCTTGCAAAGATACAAGCATAACTTGAGCATTCTACAAGCATAACCTAAATATTCTCAAAATGGTTGAGGTAGAAATTTTAGGAAGATCTTTCCAGTGGTTACTACCAATTATATCTGATTAATTGGTAAAGGCAATTCTGCCCCAATTTATGAGAGGTCTACAGGCAAGAGCCTGCAGGCCAGTCATCTCCAGGAGAACTGGAGTGTATGAACAGTGTTCTCACAGAGGGACTGACCTTAGGGTCCAGACTACATTAATCCATATATAAAAAAAGGCCTTCTAATACTTAAACAGAATGGAAAGCTCCATATCTGGACACCAGACCGGCTTAAGAATATAAAGTCACACTCATTACCTACACAACAGGAGGCTGACCTCACATCACCGTGCAAGTGGTGATGTTTTAAATTTAACCACCATGGAAGGGCTAGAGTAACCCCTTGCCATGATTAAAAAAGATAAAATAATTTGATTTCTCCATACCTTTCAGGGCCTCATCAATGTACCGGCGGAAATAATCCACTCGCAGAGTGTCATTGAGAAGATCCCCGGTGTCTCCTGTTGGCACACCATTCCCTGCTATGTATATTGGGATCTTTGACCCTGTGTATTCCTGGGATACAAACTTCAGCAGCCTTCTCAATCCCCATGGGACCACATGGATCCAAGAAGAGGCAGCCTGTGGCCAGGAAGGATCTACATGCAAGGAGAAGTTCCCAATGCTCTCGTAGCCTGGTGTACACATCTCGTTAGTCCTGGCACTGACCAGGCGGGAGGTGTAATGGGACAGGCCAAAGAAATCTGCAGTCCCTTTCACCAAGGACTTCTCCTCCTCTGTAAACACAGGCAGCTGTGCAACTTTCGTGGAGCACTGCTGGTTCACTTCCTGGATCTGAGCCTTCAGGATATCAGGGTAATCCCCATTAACAAATACGGGGTGAGCAAACCAGCCAAGCATGAACTGCAGGTACCTCTCAGCTGCCCTCACATCCTCGGAGCTGCTTGGAGTCTTGGGTTCAGCCCAGTCCGAGTTCAGCACCAGCCCCACCTTTCCCAGTTGCTGAGAACGGTATTTGTCATTATACAAATGCCAGACCTTGGCATGAGCCTTGAGAATTGTGTGAGCAACCTGGGAGCAGAAAGCAGAGGAAAATGTGTCACACTGCTTTGCACAAAAACTCTTAAGCATTTGGTTTATTGCCATGTGAAAATGTCCTCTCCATTCAAAAGAAAATACCTTGACAAAACAAATAATGATAGACAAGGAGTGTACTAGTTTTAGAATAAGCAAAAGAATCCGACTATTTATCCACATCAGCTTTCAGAATAGAAAAATAAAATAACAACACCTGGCCTCTCTTAACTAACCCATTTTTAACAAGTATCATAAATCCAGCAGTCAAATAGCTGTCTCAGAGGCCACATTAGGTTTGAACATAGTTAAAACACAGAACCATAATGGAAAACAACCCAACAAGAGTAGCTGCAGGATCCTAATTATTCCTGTGCCCTACCTTGTACGATGCTGCTCCTGGCTCAGTGATTCCTGGAGGATGCTCTCCGGTGCCATAGCCAGCATAGCTGATAACCCAGGGCTCATGGAACGTAACCCAGAGCTTGACCCGATCCCCAAACGTGGAAAAGCAGAAGTCTGCATAGCTCACAAAAGCATCTATGATACTTTCATTCTGCCAGCCACCAAGAGCCTGCAGAGCTTGGGGCAGGTCCCAGTGGAAGAGAGTCACCATGGGCTCAATGTCAGAGTCTAACAAGTTGTCAATTAAGTGGTTGTAATAATCAACAGCCTTGGAATTGATGGTCTTCTTGGTGCCAGCAGGCAAAATTCTAGACCAGGATACAGAAAATTTGTACAGCTGGGGGTGAAGACCCCTGAGCAGGTAAATGTCATAGCTGGTTTTATAGTAGCTGTCACAGGCCACGTCTGCTGTTTGATTCAGGTGGACATGGCCCTCATGCCCAAACTGGTCCCAGATGCTCTCTCCCTTCCCATCCTCTGCCCAAGCTCCTTCGATGTTAAAGGCACCTGTGGATGTGCCCCAGAGGAACCCACTTGGGAAAACATCTTGCAGGAAAGAATCCCTCTCCGATTCAGACTGTTCAGCAAACATTTCCCAGACTGTTTGATAGGAGGACTGAGGGGCAAGAACAGCATCTGGGTTTTCCTGTAGAGTATTTGTTTCACTGGAAATACAATAAATAGAAGTTAAAATCTCCAAGGTGGACACCAGTGCCATAAAACTTGCAAACACAGAGTATAAAGGAAGTTTGCTTCCTGTTCAGGTCACATAAGCCACATATAGTTCCTCTGACATCTGACCAATCTAACCCTGCTCTCTCCCAGCTGGGACATGAAGGTGGAGGGCAGTGAGTAACTGCAGAACAGCTCTTTGCATGTAGAGTCTCATAATCCATTAGTTAGGTCAGAGGTGCGAACAACATCCTTGCAGTGAGCAGCAATTTCCCATGCTACAACTGCTTCCTGAGTTTCCTGCCATTGTAATCCTTAGCATCTCCCTGCACCATGACATCTCCCACAATTCCATAAGCTCAAATGGCTTCTCCCCTTGGAAAGCCTCTATTGGATTTGTTTATTTATAACCATTTTGCTCTTGAAAAAGCAGAAGGCTTGAAAAATGTACTTGTTACTACTGGCTTGAAGGTGCAATTTGGGTAACCAAGGATGAGAGAGTGGAAGAGGATTACATTACAGGATTAGTAGCAGGATGGAGGATTGCAAGTAATTGGAAGAGACTGGGCTCAGCAGAAAAACAGCCCTTTGCAGCCCTTTCAGCAACTAACAGCAGATTTTACCACTAAACTGTCTTGTCTCTCCCTGCACATAGGTTTCTAGAAGAAGCTGTTTTATTATTGTATCTTATTATAGTATTGCATGGTGTTACAACATTTTTATAGTACCTTAAAACATGAGGTACGTAGTCCAAGAACTCATTAATGTCACATCCAATCATATGTGCTTCTTTATTAATAGCTGCAAACAAATGGTAAGTGATGGATATAGTCTTAGATGCAATGGACTGCATGACACTACTTGTAACAAACAATTATATCTTGAAAGAAATTTTTCCTAATATTCAACTTAAACCTCCCCTTCTGTAATTTGAGGCCGATGAAAAGATCTGGGAAAGATTCCTGTTTTCCCTTCCTCAACACCCACCATCCATTCTTAACTTTCCAAGAATACTATAAAAAAACTGCAAATTATTTAATCTAATAGCAGGTGATTGCCTAGATTTGATGATTTTGAATTTCCTTTACAAGCTATCATGCAGATCTTAACTAAAAAACTCATCCTCTTCAAACATCACTCACTTGTGACAACAGCAGCTACTGGTATGAAAGGATGCTCTTCCATGGAGGCACAGTCAAGGGCTTTTAAATTAAAAACCAAGATGTCTTTGTCCTTCCAGACACTCTGCAAAGGAGAAATCGGGGAGTAGAGTGAAAAGAAGCATCAGCCACTTAGTAAAACCATGTTTTTTGTGTTCTTTGCATTTTACATGGGCAGCTCCTTATCCTGCTACCCAGATGCTGGATGTCTCTTTGCTTATGAATTTTAAGAATGCAGTTCACTACCAGAGATTTAATATAGGTTATAACAGGTACCAGGCTACAGCATCACTGATGTTGGTGCTGCCAGAAGATCTAATCCTTTAAATAAACTCACCCTCAGTAACATTTCCAGCACCACCCCTGCTGATAAGGAATGTGAAGTTTGGTAGCACTGCTGTAGAGCTCATGCTAGAGTTTAATATCTTTCAGTACTTAGGTATTGGCCTAACAGCTTATCAAACATCATGTGAGAGAGAAGGTTTTTCAGTCCCAGATAAAAGAATTCCACCATTCCAGTTGTTAATGCATCAATAATAAGCATTGACCAAAAGGATGCTTTCCAGCATTTTCCAACAACAGTTTTTAAGTCAGAATAACAACAGAGAAATGAGAACTTTGCAGCTTCTTCTTAGTGTAGCTGCTGCCTCAGCTTTCACAGAAAATCACAACTCTTTAGACAAACATCCCAGCACATGAAATTCTGCTACTATTTTTGGTCTGTTGTTTGCTGCAACCATTTTAACCCTGTGCATAACTTTACTTGGGACTCATTCATTTTCTTGTAGAAATCTGTTTCATGTCCACAATGGTACTGAACGTCAAGAGACACGAAGTCTACTGAATTCTAGAAAAAAGAAAAGGAAAATAAATAATCATGCTGGAGAAAAATATTTTGGGTTTTTTTAACTATTACGTTAAAAATACATAAAACTGTGTAAAGTTTGATACAGACATATTGCTGGACTAAGAAGCCATATGGGAGCACTAGACAATACAGAGAGCACAAACTGGATACTCTATGGGAAAATGTGTTTTGTATGTCTCTTTCTAAACAAAGTACAACTTAAACAACTAAATTAACTTATATTTTATTAATTTAATATTAGTAACTTACAGGTAATTTATTAATACCTGGTTATGATTTATCAGAGAAACCTTTATAAGTATGTGGTTCAGGTATATAAACTTATATAACTCTTGGTTGAAAGCCCACTTCAGAAATCTTTAATCATTCTTATCACAAGTGTTATCCCACTAGAAGTTATCAACCTCAAGGGAACAGATTATTCTCTTGTTAAGTTGGAAGAAAACTGATGAGCTTTCAGTTTGTTTATCAGTCCAAGGTTCTCTTCTAGTTCAGTCAGCTCATCTCAAACATCTTCTTTGCTTTCCCTACAAACCACACCTTGCTTAAATCCTTGCAATGTCAAACCTACAACATTGCTTGACTTGGTTCTAAGTTTTGAAGGATTATGAATACAGCGAAAAAAACCTGCACTGTCATGTGTGCACTACAACCTACATCAACATCCTCTGGGTGAGGACAGCTATGAACAGGGAACTGGATCTTTAAGAAAGAATGTCATTGCCTTTGTAAAGGTTACATTCTCCTTGTGTTGTGCCATCCTTGTGCAACTACATCAGTTCTAGCAAAGCTCAGTTTGGATTTTAACATAATCAACAGATATTTTAAGTATCAGCTAATTAGGATAATGCATCAATATTTTGGTGGTGCATTAAGTACACCTGCAGAGAAAATGGTAACAGGTACACTTCTTGGAGACACCTTGTCATTTAGCAACTATATTGCTAACATTGCCAATTATAAGAGCAAATCTGTCTCCATGTAGCTTAATCAGTGCCTACCAGCCAAGAAAGGATGCTGAAACAATTTTTAAATTAGCAGTTTCACATAATCAGATTAATCAAATAATTGAAGCTTACAAAACTGGTCAACCTGCTAAAATCTTATTGAACTTCCAAGTCATTTGATCCCATACATAAAACCAAAGCTAAATCAAGGCAATTTTATATAATTTTGGAAATATTTCCTTAAGGTGTTACCTGAAAAGAAACTGCAAACAATTCTGATGAAACACTGTCAATAGACAGCTTTCCACCTTGAGAAAGAAAGAGGCAGTCTGTTGATAACATATCAAGGACAAATAAAAATTTCCATTTACTGCAGTTGTTTAAAACCAGTTTTAAATAGTTGAAGCTGTGAAACACCAGGCACTGCTCCAGGTAATTGATTTCAGGATACCCTTTGTGATTTCAATGGAGAACTGAAGAAGGTAGAAATTCAAAGGCACCATTCAAGGAGCCTCTGTAAATAAAAAGCCCTTCCACTCCCTGCATAAATAATAACTTTATTAATTTTCATGCCTTTGTGATGGTTCTACAATTTTTTTTTTAATCCATTCTATGCCAAATGTTTTTGAGATGTTGGGGTGGCAGGAACTTGGAGGGACAGGAGGTGCAGGAGGGAATCTGAGCAACTTCTAAGTTGCACACCAGATAGTGAACTGTACAACAAAGTATTCCTGACAAATGCAAGAATTAAAAATAAATTAACTAACTAAATTAGGGAAAAGAAATAACAACTCGACCAGCTCTACTGGTTATTTGTCTGGGACAGAAAAATTCCAAGGCCAAAGAAGGCAGACCCAAGTGACATCTGCTTGGCAAATCCCAGCTACCCATCATGGAAGAAGTGAAATTCTATTGCTGTAACACAGGCAGATTTGGGATTTAACTACTGTAAACCCCAGTGTATGCAGAAAGGAAAGCCAAACAAAAGGTACTGCAGACTTCCTCACAGTCATCACATAGGAGACTTCCTGTGCCTTGACTCTTCATGCTTTCAGGTACATTTCAGATAATTTTAGTCTTTCCTCTGTGGGTCAGGAAGAGGCACACAAAAATATCTACATAGAGACTGCACATAGCAGTTGTCATTTAATGGAATCACAAAATATTTGTGAGTCATGTTGAAAATCTCTGCTCTCCTTACCTGCTGCTGAGATTTCCTCATGGAGCGCGGTGTAAAATCCCTCATGGGCAGCAGCCACGGCCTGGACTCGTTCCTGGGGCTCAGTGTAGGGCAGGCTTTGAAGGACCTCTGGCAGGTCACTGAAGGACAGCCACACATCCACCAGGTCCCCAAAGGCACGGAAGCTGAAATCTGCATACTCCACAAAGAGCTCAGAAAAAGGCCTGGCTCTCCTCCCGCCCGCCTGAGCAGCCACGGCGCCGGGGACGCGGCCGCGGTGCAGAACCAGCAGGGCTCGGAGCTCTGCGGCAGCCAGGGCCTCCAGCAGCTGCCGGTAGCAGGACACCTGGGCTCCATCTGCCTCCATGGCCCTGCCCTGGGGAAGAAGGCGTGCCCATGGCAGGAAGAGCTTGTAGTGTGTCACCCCGAGCTCACGGAGCTGCCCCAAGTACCGGGGCAGCTCGGAAGCCAAGAGCTCTGGCTGGCAAAGGGAACCCTGGGCTTCAGCCACGGCAGGGCCCTGCTGGTCCCTGGTCAGGATCTGGTCCTGCAGCCCCAGTCTCTCTGCCAGCTCACTGGGTAGAGGCCCAGCAATGGCGGGAAAATTCCAAGCAAATCTCCCATCTATGCAAAGGCTGAGAGAAACCAACAGAAAGATGACTGTCTTACAGACCAGGTCCATTTCTGAACCATGCTTCAGCAACTATTCCACACTACTTATACACCAGTAGAAGTAATATTTAACAGAAATTATCTGTTCCATAGATAAGTGTTCTCTGAATTACCTGACACTGGACTGGACTTTCACAGTAGATAAAAAGACATAGATAAACATAAAAACCGCTTTCACTCAGTTGGAGAAAGGTCATGAAAATGTGAAAACATTTTCTGAGATGCTTATGCTTCCCTTTATGTTTAAGTATCAGTTGACATTTGCTAATATTGCCTCCCATTTAGAGAAAGATGAAATAAGTAGACAAAGCTTCCCCCTCTTTTTGGCCTTTTCAGCTTTAGAAGAATCCCAGCACAGCTGTGGATGAAAAACCAACAAAAGCAGCGTTATCTGCATGGCTGGGGCTTAGTCCACCATGGCTTCAGGGCATGCAGGGCAGCATGAGGCATGTTAGTGCTCTGATCCTGGGTGGATAAAGGAAACCTGATGTGTGGCACCTCACTCAGCTGGAAAAGTGACTCTGATATGAATTCAGGCAGCAGCAAGAGTGTGCTTTCTCCTGCCCAAAAACATCCAGGAACTTTAGTCTCTTTTTTTTTTTTAAATTTTTTTTGTTGTTGTTTGTTTGTTTCCAAAGCTCTCCCTCCTTGAGCCCTGAAAACACTGCTCTCCCAGCAGGGTGGACACATTCAGGTTACCCCAGCTCTTCTGCATTCCAGTACAGCAAAACTGAAGGGCTGAGAACATTTTAAAACCAACTAAACACAAAATTCTACATATCTATGAAATGTTGGTTCTATTTCAGAGTTCATTTCCTTTAATAACCAAAATTTTGTCTAAAGCTCATCTGCAATCATGTGGGCAAGTTATTGCTGTCAAGCAATATTATCTTTAAGTTACAGATGAAGACATCCCTCAACATGTGCTGTTACTCAAACCTCATCAGGGATTGTAATTTGTGTACTTTGACTCCATTTGACTCTCAGATGATTTTTTTTTTCAGTAAGTCCTAAAGAGCTCACTATATACATTGTGCTGAGTGCTCTGAAAAAGTTCCCCCGACTCTGCTGTGTGAATAGTAAGTTTAAAAATTAACTTTACAGCACCACCTGGTGCTTACTTTTCAGTAGAGCTGCACTAACTCAGAGAAAACAGCTCTCAACCTATAGAACTGGGGAAAGAAGAAGAAAAAAATGCTGGTATCCAGGCAACAGGACAAATATTCAGGTATATTTAATTCTTAATAGAGTATTCAATAATCCCATAGCTTACAGTAAAAAAATGAGAGCAGAAATTCAAGCAAAGTTTTCTTATAGAAAGATCTTCAATCAGGTTTACAAATATAGTCTTAAAAATCCCTCACAAATGGTGGCAGTTTTCAATTCACTTACAAGTTAAGACATTCATCAAGGTTGATGTTTCTGCCCTGCTGACTTAAAGCCTTGCTTTGGGCTTGGCTATTTGCCATTTTCTACTTTACATATGCAACAGGAGCCTGCACATCTTTAGTCCATCTAAAAAAAAAGAGAAGCATTCAGTTTCTCATTGTCTATCACAGGAAGTTTAAAAAACTTCTTTAAAAAGAGCATCTGTCATCCAGAAAATTTGGTCTTCCTAAAGACATTAAACATTTAGATCACTGTATTTTTCAGCCTCATATTACAGGCATAGAAAACAGTAATCTCACAACTGAGTAACAACAAACCCATTCCCAAATATTTAGTGAGCTTTTATTTATGTTAAGAAGAAGAGTAAAAACCTATAGCATAAAATGTCTACTAAAAAAGAACAATGTAAAATTAGTCTTATTTAAAACAGGAACGCCTACATAGCTTGATGATCAAAAAAGCTATTGGATGATTATCCTCTGCATCCAGATGATGGCACTGAAATTCAGAGCTAACAGTGGAACTAATATACATGTCTCATGTCTTTAAAAGCTTTCCAGGTATGCTCAATGAAAATGAGAAATCACATATTACTGACCACACTCTGGCACAGTCATAGGAATTTAAGGAATTAGCTACAGCAACCCCTGCATGAAAAGAATGCATTTTCCAGCTTGTGAGCAGCCAGCCCTAGAATGCCATTCTCAGCCCTCAGTCCTCCAGCAGATAGTTTGGGTTGACAACCAGGTATGGATCATCATCAAAAGTCTCCTCTTCTCTGGATCCTCTCAGTCCTGACTGGGACAGTTCAATCAGAATGTGGTCCTGCAACAAAGAGTTGTGTCAAAACAAGGACAGAGAGGTTTGTTTGTACTTTTTGAGAGGAAATTTTATATTGTTAGGACCTCTTATTAATTCTTAACCCTTTTAATTGTGAACTCCCTCTAAGAGATTCTTAAAAACAGCATTCAGTGGAAATCACTTCTATGTTGTATCCTTCCTGGGAACTTTCCACCTTAGTGCTTTCCAATCTAATGGTTTTGTGTCTTTAAAAGTGAAAAGTATTTTATTTGGCCATACTTTTTTCTCCAAAATGCCCTTGTATCCCTCTGACTTATGGCTATCCATTGAATACAAGTGTTAATTGTATTTTTGTATCCTAATGTATAGTACTATAGAAATACAGAAGAACATCACACTTCTACAGTGACACAGTTGAACTTTTACTTATACGCATCTCTAATTTATTTCATAGTTTTTCCTGTAATTACTGTAGCAGGTGTTAAACAAAGAAGGCATTTATACTGCATCAATCAATGGAAGAACAAAACAGATTTCTCCAAATAGGAATGCATTCTATTAAAAATGAAACATTTTAATATGTAAGTTACAACCCTATACAAGTCAAAAACCCCTTTTTCACTACCCACACATCTCTATACATACATAATGTGTAAGTCGGTGAATGACTCTCTCTATTATCTTCTTTTTATTTATTAGTTCTTCTTCAGATTCAATTTCAGATTCAATTTCCTTTAGATACCAATTAATAAGTTCACTCCTCTTTAGTGCTGCATCATCCTCTTCTGCAGAAAAAATAATTTCCATCAACACAGCAGCAGTAAACTACCACTCAAACCATAGAAGAAAAGGATTTACACATTAACATTCACAATGCTGAAGAGAGAAATAGGCTTTTTAAGATGTTTAGGAAAGGTCAGACTTAAGGGTTTTTTTCTTAAAGCACCGTATTTCGCACTGGAGGGTGCTGTGTCATGGTTTAATTGGAGCTAATTAGATTGAGAATGGAAGCTTTCAGTTCTATGCTTTCAAGTGGCTTCCAAATCCCATCAGCCTTTAGCTTCAAGAAGAACCAGTTGCAAGGACTAACATACCTTTTCTTTAAGTGAGGGCTAAAGAAAAACTACTGTCACATAAAGCCAGAGGCGTCATCCTTCTACATGTACTCAGCATTTGAACAGATCCTGTCATCCCCACACCATTCCAAAAGCTTTGTAGCTTTACTATCTGCTATGAGACAACTACTGCATTTCACTGCAGAAATAGCCTCATTGCAACTGAAATATTTTAGCTTCTGAAAAACTAATCCAGCCATTTGCTTAAGACAGGCTGTGGTTGCTGGCATGCACTAAAGCTCCTGCTCCAGTTTTCACTGCTACAGACTCTTCTAGCTTGGTTACACCACTGTGTGCTACAAATCCTCTCCTGGCTCTACTCTGCTGACATGCTGCTCAACTTAATAGGTTTTATAACAAATGACTAAGGTAACAGAGCTAGAAACTCCAGGAAGTCCTATTTCCATCACCAGATGTAGTACTGTCATATGTGCATAGGTCTACACCTGACCTAACAAGTTTGTTGTCTAACAGGAGTGAAAAATCCCATGTACAATAGCAAGAGATGCACTGAACTCGGGGTCTGCCTTCTTTGCAGTAAAGAAATTCTTACCTTCCTCTGCTTTCCTGAGGTGCAGCACCAGGAGATTCGAAATCCGCCGGTACTCAGAGAAGCCCAGCCTGAGAGAAGCTTTGGGTGCAGCATCCTTGCTCACATCCTCAGAATGGCCATTGATCCCATTCACAAGACCATTGACCCCAGCTGGAGCTTCTGCCTCACCTGTTTGGACACATACCCATGTTTAAAGCTGCAATATCTTTTAGCTGTTTAATACTCTGAGCCACTGAAAAGCCTTGTGCTGACCAACTGGGTGAGTTGCTGAAGGAAGCTGAAGAAGCAAGAGTTAAGAACAGGAGCCCAGATTTCTAGAGCTCATTAGATGAGAAACAGGTGAGAAACTGAAGAGAAGCATATGCTCAATCAAGGTAAGCTGTAAAGAGTGGAAGGACTTTTCCCTTTGAAAAATTTCTCTGTAAGTAATTTACCATTGACTCCATCTTGGTCCTCTTGATCCTCCATTTGCTGTTCATCATCTTGGTCTAAATTGACATCAGGAGTCTCAACTCTAATGATGGACTTATTTAAAAGCCTGAAAGCTTCCTTCACATGTTTTGGGTGAACCTAAGGAAGTTTTGAAAAACCATATATTAAATAAGCACAGGGGTGCTTCTAGTTTTCAAACAGCTTCAGAAACTCATCTCTTACTCTGACAAAGGGATTTTCTACACATCTCAGCTGATTAATCCTAAACAGTAAATACTCTGCAAGTTAAATTATATCCCACTATAAGTATTCCAAGATCATGCAAGGTTACGGAGGGAAAAGCAGCCTGATCCCTTCAGGATTTAGCAATCATGTGGAGTCGATAAAATTTTTACTAAGCCAAGATCATTTGGGATAAAGATCAGCGGAGGAAGAAACATGAAAGAAATGGGTCTGAACAGAGACAACATGAAAGAGAGATATAACTAATGATATTCTCCTCCAGAACTGAAAAGCAAAAACTGGAAAAATAATCTATAGTTGAGCCATAACCTAAAAGCTATCTGTTTCTTTATAAGCTGAATTTAATTTAGAAGAATCCAAAGGGTATCCTTACACAAGCAGTGAGCAAGGTTCCATCCCTGCATGTGTCACATAACCTCTAATCAACATTTCAGAAGGCCTGCTGGGTTTGAAAGTGAGGACTAGAGGGGTAGTAAT